AAAAAAAAAAAAAAAAAAAAAAAAAAAAAAAAAAAAAAAAAAAAAAAAAAAAAAACCATTTCCTCTTATAGAAACTTGTCACGGTACAACTTTACTACAAATTGAACTTTAGAATTTTTTAATAAAACTTTTATTGTCTCACATTTTTTTACTGTTTCAATTGAAATCATTCAGAGAAAAAAAGAGAATGTGGTGGAAGATAAGTTATTTGAATAATTTAATTGTGTTTTATATTGATTTTTATACTACTCGTAGAAATTTTTTTAATGAAATTTGGATGGGGGTTTAAAGTGATAATCTATAAAGATAAAATCAAAGTTAAATTTTCTTATTTAGCAATGATTTTAATTTTTAAATTTTGCAATAAGTTTATTTCAATAAACAGTGCTATTGTCATGAGAACACATACTTTCTAGGAAAACGGTTTTATGATAATATGCATCTAGAGGGGGCCAGAGCTCATTCTAGGCAGAGAAAAGGGCAGGGTGCAAAAGTTATAAAAAAGGGCATTATTATTCTAAAAAGGCAATAATTTCTTTCTATGGGATTTACTCATTCTATTAAAAAACATAGTCGATAAGTAAAAGAAAAAGAACTACTTTACAAGAAGTAGCAAAGCAATCATATTAATTAATAATTTTTATTAATAAATTTACTTATAAATCAAGTTAATGAGTGAATTAGCTTAGTAATTTATTTAAAATGCTTGCATATATTAATAAAATGCATATATTATTAGGGTCTGCAGTTATGATTTAGTAATTAAAAAAATACATTTCAGTTATTATAATTTTATTGTAGGCGCTTTAAGAAGTATAAAAATATAATTAAAAATGCAAACATATGTTTTTAATACCATGCAAATAAAATTAAAAAAAATCTAAAGATTAACTAAAAAATAACATACAAAATTCAATAAAGTATCTTACTTAGTTCTCCTTCAATATTATATTAAACTAATTTAAGAAACTATCAAAACATGGATTTAATGATGGTATATTTTTATTTCCACCATTTTTTTTAAATAAGCCTGAACCTAAATAAAATCTGCTTGAAAACTATTTATGCAAGTAACAGAAATAAGAATTTAAATTGTTAAAAATATTTTCCTATAAAGAACTGCAAGGGAGCAACACCATGCAAGTTAAAAAAAATTTTTTTTTACAGATTAACTAAAAAATTCAATAAAAGTATATTACTACCATTTATGCTTTTTATTATAGTAAGCATATGGTTAAAATAAAATAAAAAGTTCTTCAATAATTACATTAAACCAATTCAAAAAACTATCAAAACATGGATTTATTGATCTATTTCATTTTCACAATTTTTTTAGATAAGGCTGAACCTAAAATCTGCTCAAATGAATATGTTTTATAGTGATATTTTGTTGTGTGAAGTTCAGTTGAATTGTAAGTAGTAAGTGATTTGTAAGAATTTCGATTGCTTCCTAAAGCTGTGATTTTCCAAAAAGAGACTTAATCTGCTTTTTTGTCACAAACTGTAGGATAGAGTTTGTCAAGCGATATTGTGTGTCATTGGGCAACAACAATGTTAATCTGTATTTTACTTTTTTTCGCTCACATTATTTAGATTTAATAATTTTTCTAATGTAATTCTTATTTATATTGTATATACTTCTCTTTTTCTGTAGAAAAAAATAGCCGAAACACAATTTTTTTCGCGGAATTTACAATTTTATTTTATTTTCTGAGGTGGCAAATGCTTAGTGTGTGCCCTTCAAATGTAAAACAAATAAAATTTTCTTGTTTTAATTTCTTTTTAAATTATCCAAAAATATTTTGTGGTGTTTTATCAGTTCTATGCATCCAATTAAAAAATAAAGTGATTAAAGTACCAAATTTATTCATAATCGATGTGTCTATTTTTAGAGCTTGATTTTGAATCCTACAGTTGAGCAAGCAGCTGTGTATTTAGCAATACCAAGAAAAAATTTTAAAAAAAGAGAGAAAGAAAACAATAAAGCCCATATTTAAGTGGTTTTTTTTAAATTATAATTTTACTCATTCCTAAATATTTTTTTCAAATTAATCTATCATTTTTTTAGTGAATAATCTTAATTGTGTGTCTAGAAAGCTTGCCAGCAGATTTTTAATACATTTTCGAAATTTCCACCTTATAGAAATGTATTGTATTTTAAAGAATACAAAATATTTTAACAATAGCATAAATGAAACTCACAGTACTCTTTTTCATTTACCAGATTTATTTTATATCACTAAATTCTGTGATTCATGATAAAAATACTTTATTTAATGACATCAGCAAAGTAAAAATAAAATGGATTCAAACCTTTGCAGTTCTATAATATTCTCCTCTAGTTTAAATAATTCTTAAAATGTGTATAAACTTTAACTAGCTTTTTCGAGACCCAAACTGGATTGGACCTGCCAAAAACATTCGTTCAAAAGTTGCCGAGCTTGCTGGACCGTCAACTAACTGAACCTCAAAATTGACAGATTCTTTTGTATTCCTACTTCACTATTCCGTAACACTCCACTATTTGAGGAAAGTGAAATATTTCCACACTTTTATTTAATAGTGAGTGAGGGTATACTCTGAAATCTTTTATTCTGAAATGCAGAGCTGGACTTTGCAATTCAGTATTTTTCCTAGAAGAAACCCAATCCTCTTTCCTCATGTTTTCAGAATATCTTTTCCATTGTTTTTCAAATATTGGCTAAAAACTCTTTTCCATAATTTTTTCATGTGGACTTAGATTTTCATTGTCTATCTTAAATCCATCCAATACTAAACTGCATCAGATAGATTAGTTTTCCCTGATAAATTTGCTAGTTTTCTTTCAAGTTATGGGTTTGGGCATGATTATTTGTTGAAATAATTATTTCATCTTAACTTTTATTCATTTTCTTTTTAATTCAAAATTTTTGTTAAACAGGTATAGCTACAGCCGAAGCCGCAGCAACTCTAGAGGCCGTTACGGTGGTAGGCGGAGAAGGACTCCTAGTCAGGTGCGTTCACCTAGTTACAATCGATCTAAGAAGCCATCAAGAAGAACAGACACTCCTACAAGTTCTCGTTCTAGGTAATTTTCTAATTCTCACTGTTTTTAAAGTACAGTAGAGCACCCATTATCCGAACGTCCAATTATCCTAACTATATCTGAATTCTTTTTTTTATTTTTAAAGTTCAGAATACTTCTTAATTTATCGACAGTTGAAGATAATGATATCCACTACATCAGTTGAAAAGTAAAGTAACCTGAGTAAAGTGGTTTTCATAAGAATCTAGAAAGATGTCGTTCAAACGTAAGAGAATCGTTCTTTCCTTAAGTGATAAGACGAAAATTTTAAAAAGATTGAAAAGTGGAGAAAGTGGAAGTGAATTAGCGTCAGAATATGGCGTAGAAAAATTGACAGTATCGGGAAAAAAATTAAAATCAGTTATGAATTATGTTTTAGTAATGGACAAAAACAATGGAAATTTGGATAGAAAATGCATGAAAAAATCAAGCAACGATGAAGTGAACAAAACACTTTATTTGAGGTTCCTGCAAAAAAGATCTTTAGGCTTTATTTTTTAATGAGAAATTTGGTGGAACAAGTACTTTTCAGGCTAGTTCGGGATGGTTAAAGAATTTTAAACATCAATGTGGAATACTCGAGTTATAAATTTATGACGGAAAACTTTCCGCGTCTAACACAGCCGCTTCAAATTTTGTAAAGGAATTAGAAAGCATTATTGAAACTGAAGGATATGAAGAATTTATTTATAATGCAGCTGAAAGTGGACTGAATTGGAAATCATACCACGAAAAACTTTTTCTTCACGAGATGAAGAATGTGTTTTTGGGAACAAGATCATTAAGGAGAGAGGCACAATTAACATTTGCGCAAATGCAGCTGGAAATCATCAAATGCCTTTTATAATGATAGGAAAATCCAAAAATCCAAGAGCCTTCAAAAATGTTAAAACACTGCCTGTCGTTAATGCATCTCAAAACAAAGCGTGGGTGAACACTAAAATTTTTATGGAGTGGTACGATAAGACTTTCATTCCAGAAGTATTACTTCTCTTGGTCGATGCTTCGTTGCATCCAAATCCTGATCTCTTAGATCGGGAGAATGGAATGTTTCTTGTTGTTTTCCTGCCACCTAATGTTACTCCTTTGATTCAGCTGAAGGATCAAAGTATCATTGAAACCTTAAAATGTCTTTATAGAAAGCAACTTTTAAGGAAGATTTCATTATCAGATGAACTAAATGAGGGGGATTTTCGAGACTCAAACAAAGCTATAGATTTAAGAGAATGCTGTATGATGATAGTAGATGCCTGGAATTTAGTAAAAACATCGCCACTTAGAAAATATTGGAATAAAATTCTTAACAGAAAAATAAACATCCCTGAAGTTTCTGAACCAGAAAGATGCCAGGTTATACAGCAGAAAAAATAGAAGATTGATGTCAAAACACTGAAAATGACCCAGGATTTTAAATGATGATGAAATTTTGAATGAAAATTGGAACTCCACAGACGAAGTAGGTGATCAAGTTCAAGATAGTGGACCTCTTCATATAGAAGCCTGCAATTCATTAGATATTGCAATGAATTGGCTAGAACGTCAAAATGATCTTGATCCAGTTCGGTTGATTTATTTAAAAAGAATAAGACATATGGCTGCTCAAAAAAGAGCATTTTCTTTGAAACAGAAGTCTTTACTGGATTTCTTTTACAATGGAAAATAAAGAAAAATGTGGTAAAATCAGTAATTGACAAAGAAAATTATAAAAAGCTGAGATGATTTAAAAAAATTAAAAATGAAAAAAAAAAGTATAAAAAAAATTAGAACACACCAGAGCTATTTTAGATATAACAACCAGTCCTAAGCCTGGAAAAAGTGTGAAGGGAAGTTAGTGCGTAAATAATAATCATTTAAACTAGATTTTAAAATTATCCGAACTGCGTTCAGTCCCGAGCAGTACAGATAATCAGCACTCTACTGTAGCAAGAAATTTAAACTTGATGCAGTTCATAAAAAGGTTTTTGATTTATTAGTTCTACATCACTACTAAAACCTTTTCTTTCTTTCTTTTAATTTACAACTTACGATCAGTTTTACTGTTTATTCATTAAGTTATTTTATTAAAAATTATGGAGGAATTTTGAAATCTGTGCAATATCACAATCTTTTCTCACAACTGGACAGGATTTTCCAGCAGAATTTTTGAAAGTTTTTCCTGGTTTAAAAAGAGAAGTCTTGTTTTTTGAAAGAAATTCCCTCAAATTGGGAAAACTTTTAAGCAAGCTCTTCTATCCGTATGTCATCTTTCCCAACTTATACTCTTTAGCTGTACAGGGAGCTATATTTTATCCTATTGAACTATCGTGTTTAGTAATTGAATTTTTCTTCTCTTATTTTATTTTTCTTCATTTAAACGTTATTCATTATTCAACTTAGTCATAATTTTTCTGGTTTAACCAACTGAATCAATTCCTACTCATTTGCGTTGTATCACGTTAATAATATTGATTTATAGTGCCCATCCTTAATTGTGAAATTTGTTACGCTTGGGATCGTTCTTAAACTTTGTGTTAAGGAAGTCCGAGTTCTTGGCTTATGCCATAATTTTAAAAGGAAGTTTTGTAAATCCAAGCAAGTTTAGAAACACACATTCTTTGTAAAAACAACAGAAATTTGGGGTTTTCCTCACATTTTATAGACTTGTGCTTTATAATTAACAGCGTATGCTATCTTATACCATTAATCCGATATTTATACCAGCTTTATTTATTTATAGTATTTTAAACAAAAATAGCAATTTCCAATTTCTTTTAAGCAAAAAATGTGGAGCGAAACTTATCAAACCATGGCAACTCTTAAACTTCATATGTGAAGAAATTAAACCAGTCACTACTTGGGACATTGTTATTGGTACCGAAGTAGCATCTGTTATCAGGGAAGTCACTTTACGCCAATAGTATTGTAAATCAATGCAATGTTTCTATTGCATTTTTTGCAGTCATTGATTTTGACGTGGACGAAATATTTCAAACAATATGGAAAATTTGAATCGTGCATTCAAGTATTTACTTTTTAATGCACTAATTCTATCAAATTTTCTGCAGTTATTGCTATTGATTTCTGCATAGTTTTTAATTCCGATATCTTTTAAACAAAATAATTTATTGCAACACCTAGTATCGAAACAAAACACGCATGCGCGTTCTTTTTTTTTCTTTCAAAAATTTGAATTAAATTTTTCAGGGATATAGCGCTATTAGATCAGATTGCTAACCAGGGTTGAGATTTCTTTTGGAAAAAGTATATTTTTTCCAAGAAACACGGTTCACGTGATTTCGTTGTCGTTTTTTTTCTTCGGATTTCATGATTTTTATTTTTTATTGTGATAATTATTTACAAGATGCAAAGAAGGAATTTGTGTATTCCCTCCAACAAAATGCAAGAATGTCACCCATAATATTGGAATAAAATATTATGTGTTAAATTAAAAACAATTATATATTTCTTTTTGTATACACGGCATATTTGTTATTTTAAATGAGTAGCATATATGTTTGTTAGTAATAAAAGTATCTTTTAGAAAGGTATAAGTGCTAGAGTTTTTTTGCAGAAAGCCCTAAAAAATTCTGTCACAGGGTATTGCACAATCCATGTTTCTAAACATTTCAGCTGTCCCTTTTTTTTTCTCAGAGTTTTTCCAGCAACTAGTACAGTTAGCCCAATATAGCTCACACAAGAGCACAGTGACTGTGTATTTCTCTTCATAATACTGTGTATAATATGTACAGGGAATTTTTTTTTCCCCCTTCCAGATTTGAGTAGCTACCCTGTATAATCCCTCGAATACCTTAAAAGCTAGTTGAAGTAAGCAGGGATGAGATTTTTCCGCTTTTTAGCGGATTTCCGCTTTTTTCACTTTTATCTCTTGAATTTCAGCTTTTTTTATCAGAAATTCAGATTTTCTAAAAATTTCANCTAATCTCATCCCTGAGTAAGGTTATGTCAGAAACTAGTTTTATTTGTGAGGTTAATCTCATTGAGAGAGGGTGAGCTAGTGTTCAATGTCAGTTCTACTCACCTTTGTAAAAGCGATCTGTTTTCCTCTGTAGGACGAGTAAATAATTGAAGTATAAGTTGCAATAAAGAGCGATCGATGTCCATCAAATGCAAAGGGTTCTTATCCTTAGTTTTCGAAACTGGGAAAAATCTACAAGGGTGATTGTATCCCGGAATTCTGGTTTTATTGTAGTATCATTCTGGGTGAAAAAAAATTAGCAGGGCATGTGATTTTTCTGGGAATATCGCTGAATTCAGTGTTCTCTGGACCGTTGGTTCTCGGACTTTCACTTATCAAAATTTTATTATCCAACAAAATATTCCCAAAATTCCTCGATCTAAAACTTTGTGATAACGAGATACTTATATACACGTGATTCTTCTTCCAATGGACAGAAATCCGCCAATTGATTATTTTGGTTTGACGGATTTTTGCAAATTTGAATATATTTAAAACTGCGCTTGAATCCGCTAATGTCGCGATTCATATTCACGCAATTTTAAAATAATATAGTCACACGATTTTAAAATCAAATTTCCCTATTCATATGCATGCCATTTTGAAAATCCAACATAGTGATTCCTATAAGAACTGAGATTAGTTACCATAAAGATGTGATGTTCATCATTAGTAGGTAATTTAATTATAAATCTTATTGAAAAAAATTACGTTAAATACGAAACAAGTATGATAAATAAATTGATATTGATTTTTTGCTCATAGAATTTTCAGGGTTTTCTACTCTGTGACACAACATACAGGGATGAGATTTTTCCGCGGATTCGAGGATTTCCGCTTTTTTCAGATTTTTCCATTCTTTCCGCTGAAATTTTTTTTTTTGCGCAGGTTGAAATATTTTATGAGGAATTTAATTTTCCGCGGAGCGAAATTATTGAAGTCCTCATTTCTCCCTCTGAAGTTTCTCTAAAAATCATTTCCTTAGGATAAAACTGGTTGATACAGGGATCAGATTTTTTTCGCTTTTGTCTCTTGGATTTCAGCCTTTTCATCAAAAAGTCCAATTCTCTAAAAGTTTCATTTTTTTCAATAAATATCCCGCTTTTTTTAAAAAAAATTCAGTCGCTGAAGTAAAATAATTATATTTATTTACGATTTTCAAAGAGAAACAGAAAATTCGAACTACGTCCTAGCTGCTAACCCTTCCGCATTTTTACTTATATTAGCTATTTTCTCCGATTTCAGCCTTTTAGAAATCCCAAGTCCAGACTCTGCAAATATCACGATTTCACACGATTTTAATATCAATCATCGATCCTCATATTTATCTGATTTAAAAGTTGCGCATTATGATTCTTATTTAAGTTATTTAAATATCGTACATTATGATTCTTATTTACAAAATTTAAAAATCCAATATCTTGTTTTGTATTTACGCATTTTTAAAATCGAGATTTTATTATCAAACATCGATTTTCGTATTTACCTGATTTAAAAGTTGAAAGTTGCGATTCTTATTCAGGCGATTTAAATATCGTACATTGCGATTCTTATTTACGAGATTTAAAAATCCAAGATCGCAATTTTTGTTTACAAGCTTTTAAAACCCTATGTAGCAATTCGTATTCACACGAACTTAAAATCCAATGTCGTGATTTGTTTTTGCGGTTGTAATATCACACGATTTAAAAGTTATGCATCGTGATCAAAAAATTATGCATAATGATTTGTATTTTCGCATTTTTTAAATTCGATGTAGAGTTTCATATTCACATGATTTAAAAGCCTCATATCGGGATTTATAATCACATGGTTTACAAGTTTAAAAATCGAATTTTTTTTTGGTTATATACAGTGAAACCTCCTGTTATGGACATTCCTGCAAAA